TTTTTTTTTTTTTTTTTTTTTTTTTTTTTTTTTTTTTTTTTTTTTTTTTTTTTTTTTTTTTTTTGTCTTTGACCTATATGTAACATTTTCTAAATAGAGACTAGATGGGATGAAGTGAACGAAACATGAATAACATATAATGTATGACATTTTTAAGTGATGATTCTTTTAAGTGATGATTCTATGTTATGACGTAGTATTTTTTGTGTTGATTTTTGAAGTATTTGTCTAAATGTGAGATCTCGTACATGTTGTATATTATGAACATGAATTAATTATTCTATATATAACATACAGACAGCATAGACAACATACACCACGATGTAATATCATTGGTAATACCACGATGTAATATCATTGGTAATACCAACTAATGATATGAAGTTCTTAAGCCAACCAAATTTTAAGAACAACATTGTGGAGAGGTGACGTGAAATAATTAAGAGAAGTTTAGCAAGAACAAATAATTTTTATTGGAAACATTCCTCTAATGAATTCTCTGGAATCTTAGCTCTGATCTTTCTCTTGACTCCCCTGTAAAAGTATCCCTTTTCACCGACACACCTCTTTATGGATACCCAGATTCCATAGGAATGCCATTTTCTGCAATTTTCTCAATCTTCCTTCCTCATTCACACCACACATTCACGCACCTTTTTTATTATTATTTTTTTTTATTTCTTCAATTTTATTATTTTGATTTATATCTATTTACTATTTTAAACTTTTAAAAAATATATGTCCCTAAGTTCCTATAAAAGTGCTTCTACAATTTTTTTTTTAACACAAAATTTAATTTTAGTACCTACTATTTAAAATTTTTGAATAGGTTATAGATTTATCAAACCTAAAAATTGTAATTTAAGAAACCTATTAGAAATGTTTAAACTCAAATCTTAGAGTTATATTTGGTATTTAATAGACGTTTTACATAAATTTGTACCTACTAATATATTCTATTTTATGCAATTTTTTTTTAAAAAAATACCACAACTAAAAGCAATTTGAAGTTTATTATAATGGTATAAAAGACATAAAAGACCCAAAATACACCGACAATTGACACTCTGGAATGATCCCTATGTGATCGCGAAAACTAGGATGGACCCCCTCCCCAGTCTACAACTATGTCCTCGACCCTAATCCAATTTATGGGAGTATTGGGATTTAGACCCTTAATCGCCACTCACGCCTTGTCAGGACTCGATTTTCAAGGGCTTCCAAAGCAAAGATCTCGACTTCGGGAAAGCTATAAATACATCGTAAATTTTCACTATAATATAGCTATTTATTTATATTATCAAAATATATTTTATGAGTCTAGATAAAAAAAAAAAAAAAAGTAACAAAATCACAAACATAAAAAACATCAAAATAGTTTTGAGGCTATGGTGTGGCTATATATAGCTTATGTTCCGTATCTTTTCCAATCCCAAACCATCTCTTAATCACTTGAAAAATATGAAAAATATAGGGTGAGTACCAGACTTAGTAGCCTACTTGTGTCATAACTCCAATTTTTACCAGTCCAGTTATTAAAAACTCAAAAAATATGAAAGATGGGGTAAAAAAGAAGGTAAATTTTTTCACATTTAAAACAAAACATAAATATATTTTATATACAAATCAAAATAAAGTTTGAATACATGAAAAATAGTAAAATATCTGAAACATTAGTTTGGCCTTACCTGACACCTGCTCCAAATCCATTTCCATCCTCCACAAACTCCTTCTTGTTACGTGAAAACATAAAAAAATAAAGAAAAAAAAGTAAAAAGATTTAGTAAGTTGCTTACGTGCTCTTAATCATGTCCTTAAGTTGTGCTAGGGTACCACACTCTTTTTTATAACATTCTTGTTCTTGTCTTGAGAACTTAGGTCATTGGTTCTATTTTTGAGTTCTTATCATATTCTAGCCTAAGGACTTTGGCCTGGAGTTCTGAGCTTTTAACCTTAATTACGAGGTTTTGGATCATGTGATCATAGAGCACCATAGAAAATCTTAGGTAATTTAGAGTCATACTTAGCGGTCCTCATATCATGGTAGGGTTAACACTTGGGTTATGCATTCTTAAATGCCATCCTTTTGGCACATCCCTTGACCCTAGAGCATTATTTTAAATTATTTTAAGTTCGTGAGGTTTAAGGTTTTGGCTACATGAGTTCTTAGAACTTACAAGCACAACCAGAGCATGGGTTATGACATTAGGTTCTTAAGCCTTAACATTTCATGCATGGTCTTTCATGAGTGTCATGTCACTATTTTACTTTGAGAACTTCATGGATTTTCAGGATATTCTTGATTCATGACTAGGGTAATGTATTCGACTCCTTATGAATGAGAGCATATTCAATCCTTCTTTTTACCTTTGTGCTAACTAGGGACTTATCTTTATCTCTTTTATCATGAGCTATGACATGCAGTCAACCTAGTAGCTATCCTTAATGTGCTCTAAATTATACTCCATGAAAGAATGACAAGGTCACATGATCGGTGTTAAACATGAACGTTACATTCATCTTGTAAAAGATGATGCAAAACATCTAATCTAGGTGAGGAAAAATATGAGGCCCAAACATGATATACTGCTAAAAAAATATGGTACATCGCATCCCACTTCGAAGAGAAAACATGAGCCTAATGATGCATTGTGTGGTGGAAGGTCATAAGTCACTTAGGACATGATTATAGTATTTTCTAACCTTCATGTGGGTCATGGTAACTTAGGGTGGGGTGTGTAATGTTCTTTAACTTGTTCATATCATTCTCATGTGTGGAAGTCAACTATAACATTGGATGTGTTATAATAAAACTCTTGATGTTCATGGAAACTTTATGAATTCTAGTAAGAAGGTCATTGGTATTTCCATCTTTGGCTGCTTGAGTCTTGGTTTGTACCCTCAATCATGTTCTTGTCATGCATGAGTTTCATGTTCTTAAGTCGTCTTGATGTTCTTAGGGTTTGTACTGTACTCTTTTCTTGATACTTGATTTGGAATGTTTTCTTAGTCCATGATGTTTTCGGTTCTTGTTCTAAAAGTTATTCTTAGAGCAGAACCACACATAAATCTTGTCATAATTTCTTAAGCCTTAATGCAAGCTCATACGTCATGGATACGTGAACTTGACATAATAACTTATCTAAGTCTTTGTAGGATCATATCATGTTTTTTTGAGGTATTTAAATAAATTATAATCCTTAGTAGGGCCTTTAGGGTAGTTTAGTCATTTCCCTTAAGTCTTGGCTTATACTCCAAATAGGTTAGATTTTTTTAGAAACTTGTTAATTATCCTTAAGGTCATACATGAGTTTCTTATAAGGGTTCATAATATTTGGAGCATCTCAGAATTCTTATGGGGACATTTTGGTTATTTATTTCTCCATTTTTTGGTTTAAGCTATTAACGTGCACCAACTTCCTTGAATTCTTCGATAGACCTGCATGTCCTTATATATAGGTATTACTTAAAACCTTACACCGTTCGGAGGCTATTTGAATCTTTAAATGACCTACGATTATCCTAGGAGAATTTTAGTTATTTTAACCTTAATTATTGGTTCAGCGGCTAAATGTTTTCCAATGACTCTGACATCTTGCATAACCTCTTATATCCTCGAAAATAGGTCATATATAAAATCTTAGGTCATTTGGAATTTATTTGGTCTATACACCAATGTTTAGGCATATGGGGACCTTTTGATCATTTTGTACTTATCCTTGGTTCAGCCCTTAAATGAACTCCAATAACTACCAAACTTTATACATAGCCTTAAGAGTTCATAACTACTAAACTTTATACATAGCCTTAACATGTTGCCTTAGGTCTTCTATTAAAGTCTCATATCATTTAGAGGTCATTTAGGTCTTAAACCGGCTTTACATTACTATGGGGGTATTTTGGTCCTTTTACGTCTTCTTGATTTGCCCGCTTAACCTTATCCAATGAGTCTCAAGCATCATTTATAACCCTAAGATGTCATATAATGGCTAGGATTAAAATTTTATGAGTAGAGTGAAGGGAATAACTTTTCATCTATATAGTAGAAGAATTGAGAACCGTTTTGATTTTATTGAGAATTAAAGGAAAATAATAAATAGGAGAGTAAGAACTCTACCTTTATTTTATATTTCACAATATGTTTTTTACTATGACTCGAACACAAGGTTAAGGTTTGTGGGAGTCTGTTGAAAGAAAATTCCAGAAGAATTTGAGAAGGAGAATTTCAACCGAATTGAACAATGATGTACTTGTAGTATTGATCAATGATGAAGCATCTCATTTTGTTAACAAGATAATGATCAACCTCTTGCAAAAATACAATGTAACACAT